CCAGGCTCAGCCCAGCACCTGCCTGCCTTTGCACAGTTATCCAGTGGGTGTGGAACCCAAGCCAGAGCAGCAGAATTCATCTCCTGGCGTCATTTTTCATCTGCACGAGGTCAGAAAGTTGTACACCAGTATATGGGGTCATAAAATTGGATTTTATCTGAATCTGCAGGGATTCACATCTCTTTCCACACAGTCTATTTGCCCTAATTGCTGCTTTGACTCAGAGATATTCCAGCATCTATCAGTTTAAACAAAACTTTAAACATTGTTTGAATGTATCTAAATGCATTCAGAAATGTAATGAAGTCCCACTTCCCCCAACAGGCTGTGTCTATTGCCCCTAAATAGTTCGGTTGAGGATTTATTTGAATTTATAGGCATCAACCCAGTCATATATTGCTCTCTTAAATGCCTTATCCAAGCAAAACCACATAACTAAGACATGAGGAGTTCAGCATAATAGCAAACCAATGCTTCTAAATTGCAATATTTTTATAAAGCTCCTTTTAAAAAGAAGTTTTAGAAATAAAATACGCTTTTTTCTTCAATAACTGAGGATGATCAAAACTAACCTGATGAATTCCCTGAGCTATAGCATTTCTCATGGAGCACTCCTCGGCTACTCCCTTTATTTTATATCCCAACATGCATTACAGATCTGACATTAGCAAGAACTGTAAATGTCAGAGTCCAAAACTGAAATTGTAGCAAAGTGCTGTGTGTGATTTTCTATCAACAAAGCAACATGTTAACACTCTACCAAAGCCAAGTCAGCTCCTGAAATACAGTCTAGGTTTTGTAGGCCAAAGGCTTTCATTGAGAAAATGCAAGGTTGTGCACTGTGGTTCAATTTACAAATTAGTCACTGATCATTATTTATTTGCACTGCGTCAAAATTAAGAAAATAGGTGATGAGTCACATCCCTGCATCGGAAATCAAGAAAAAGCCATTTAAAATACTTTAAAGTTAACATCTACAAAAAGAAACAAAACATGCAACAGAATTTTCATTCTTTTCCAAGTCCACACAATAACTTGCAAATATAAAAGACTTGGGGATGATGTGGGAAGTTGAATGGAACATTTCATTTTACCAAACGTGCCAAGATCAGCTGACTATGTAACATTTTCCAGTGCTGGTAATTCATCCAAATGAACACTCATGCTTTTTCTGGGAAGAAAAATAAAAAAGGGGGGAGAGGGGGGAGAGGGAGGAAGAAAAGAAGGATGGGGGGGGAAAAAGGAAGAAAACTGTCCTAATAACTCAGATGATAGCTTTTAAATTTTCAGCAGACACAGAAGTGTGTTCCAGTGAAGACTTCTTCACCTCCACATCATCACATCCCTATAGTATTAAATGCTCTTAATCAACAGTTGTTGATAATGATTTGTCACCTATCAAGATTAAAGTCTGAATGGGAAAACATCTGTCACACTCCTTTGTTGGGAAACTGGCAACATAGTTTTTGAACACATAAAATTTGACTTTTAATTACCCTCTTACACCTTCTGTTCAGCTATTAACCAGCATTAACCCATAAATCCATTTAACACATTATGAACTATAAAACTAAGTCCTATAATGTTTCTGTATGAACAAATCAGAGAAATTTTAACATAGAATGAATGTCATCTATTTTTCTAGTTTTTGAATCAAGTTATGAATTCTGTCTTTAGGTTGGAGAAAAGTAAATTGCACTACCTTAGACAAAACAGCTAAGAACATTGGACACAGACATTGTAATAAACTTTAATTGACATAGGTTAAGCAGCAGCACAGCCCAGTAACTTAAACAGCACAGGATAATTTGTCATAGTTTTCTTTTACAATAATGAAACCATTTAGAATCATATTCAGCAAGCAGGAAACTAAACCACTACGTACACAAATTAGGAAGTGTTGTGTGCTATAATCATGGCCCAGGTTATTCCCTTTCTCTTTAATTGGGCTGAGTTCTCTGCTCATAATTACAGTGATAACAGACAGATAACCACACAAAACACTTCTTTTTCCAGCACCTGCTTGCACAGAGTAATGTTTTACAGAAAGGTCAGGAAAGTGCAACGCCTTAAAAAATAAATTCAAAAACAAAAATGCATATTACAACAACATGAGGTCTCAGTACAGGAAAAATTATTTCCTTTGCCATTTATTTCACATGCCTGCCAGGACAGAACCACTGTTTGTTGTCCCAAACAATATGACTTTTCCAAAGACCCACGACTGTCACAGCATAACACTTTTCCACCTCATCACCATATGCAACAGTCTTTTTGGAACAAACACATAAGTGGACACAAAACTACCTGTTTGCACCACAGAGGCACAATAATGTTTAGAATTAAGGAATAAAAATGTTAAAAAAACCAAACAAATAAAAGAAACCCAAACCAAACCCGAAAACAAACAAACAAACAAACAAAAAAAAAACAAAAGAACTTTCAACAACAAATACATCACACAAATACAGTATTTTCCATGTTGAAGTGCCAGCTATTTCCAGTCTTGTTAGTGCTGCAGTAATTAGGCAGCAGTCACTCCTTGCTGTTGAGTGGAAAACTGCTCAAAGTGCTCAGTGGGACCCAACCTCCACCTGTCTTGCCCAGGCAGGGAGGATGCTCACAGCCAGCTGTGGTCACACTGCCTCAGCCTCATTTCCCATGCAGGAAATTGCTCCAGCCTCACCCAAGGTACCCAAAACACAGCTCTGTCAGTCATCAAGGCTTCTTCCAAAACCAAGGGATTGAAACAAGAACCTACAGAGAGCATCTAAATCTATACGTTAGAAAAAGAGATGCTTGTAGAATTTTCTTTTTTTATGCTAACACTCAACCAAAATGCAGTCAGCTGCAGTTACTGTAGTTGGCTCTGTAGTAATAATTTCAAACTCTGATATGTCCAAGACATTGCATGGAAGGAATTTAACCTTGATCTGCCCTAAGCCATAGACACGTAAGAAGAATAGAAATAAAAATTTATGTCATTGACAATGGCATTAATCAGCTCAGTTCTATCCACTGGCAGCTCTTTGCTGCTCGACACAAAACACAGTACATGGCAATTTCCAAACTTACTCCAAGCACCCAAATCTCCAGTGGTTCCACAAGAGAAAAGCTGCCCCATTCCACCATTACCATGTGCCATCCAGGGAATGCACAAAGGATTTGTCCTGTGCAAAAGCTGCTCTGGAAGGATGGTGACACTGCAGGGAGCTCAGAGACCACAACAACCCAAAGGATCTGCCACAACCTGTGCAGCAAGAAAACCTGCAGCATGACAAGCAGGAAATATCTTGAACATATATATATATATGTGTTCTTGTTTGCAGGAAAAAAAACCAACAAAAAACCATTAGCCATTTGTGTTAGCCTTTACTTCCAAAAATCCTCAACAAAAGAAATTACCATTTTTAAATGCTGGAGCATCAGTGTTAAATTTTAAATTTCTCCAGCTATATGCAGCAACAGTGTAATGCCTGTAGAACTATACAGACTTTCCATCAAAGCTAAAACAAAAAAGAATATTATTGTGAGACTATCAAAAGACATAATTTAAAATTACACTGCATTTATACTTCCAAGCCAAAGTCCAGGAAACTACTTTTGTATTAAAAAGGAAAGCTACATTCCTGTACAGTCACTTGGCTATTCAGAAGTGAGAGGTTGCAAAACACAGGGATCAAGATCTTCGCATAAGGGCACAGCTTCTAGTGAAAGAGATGAAAATTCTTATCCAGTAAATCTAGACAAGGGGCAGGAGTCAGGTGCTGGACTTCCAGATACAGAACAAAACAAACAAACGAAGCAAAAGAAAATCCAAAACCTCACAAAAAATTACTGTGAAGAATTAGGACATAATTAGGCAGAGAATAGAAAGTTAAAGGAATTTTTAAATGGTATTTTTTTCCTTATTTTAATATCCCTATTTGGGATAATCAGTAAGAAGATAAAAAGTATTTGTATTTAATACCACATTAATTCTTACAGGGCACATCTATAGCCAAGCAGCCTGTGGTTGTTTCCCATATTTCTCCAAGACTGCAACCTTAAGAATTCACAATTTCTTTGCCGGAAACAAAATGATTAAAACGTGTCAGAAAAGAGCAGTGAAGAGGTCTCCAATTTCTGCTGTACCTTCTCTGTCAACCTCTTTTCAGACTCCAATTCCTCTATAAATCTCAACCCTACACAATCCCTTGTGGAGTTCAGTGGCTCTTGGCCAGCACAGCCCACATTACCCAGAGAACACAACAGATCCATTCTTCACCCTCACAATGCACTTCAACTTGGGCGCCCAGTGATTTGGCCAAAGGCAGCCTTCCATTCATCCAACTTCTCAAGCAACTCCTTGTCATTTTGGCACAAGCACTTTACAACTCAATTTACAAGAAAAGTGGCAGTTTAGTTCCAGCTGCAAAGCTCCAAGAGTAATATTAGGAAAATGCAAACCATATTTCACCTTTTATTGGCAGGGCACACACAGCACCTCATTAGTTTACTTAGCACCCAGGAACTGCATGTGTGGATGGATCAGTTCTTTGATCAAGCTTTTACTTATTTAAAAGGGGCCAGACCTTCTGTAGATCAGTCTTCTAGCACAGACCAAAGGCAGACATGTAAATAAATAAAGAAATAAAAGCCCATATATCTCAGGGAAAAAAAAAAAAAAAAAGAAACAGGCAATCACTTATTTACACTTAATTAAGCATAAACTAACTCCCCTCCTCCTTTGGGAAGGATATAGATAAAATATGAATGGAAATAAAGGAGTGGATGAGTAATCACTTCAGTTTCAACAATATTTCACAAGCAAAACAAGTATGATAAGATTCAGTAGCCTGTGGCTGACATTTGTTTGAGTGAACAACAAGATCTTATTTTCATACTTTTGGCCATCTCTGTAGTCTGAGGCAAACTGCCAATTCCTACTCCACTGTCAACCCCCAGACCTAATGGAGATGAAAGGCAAAATATAGCTCTGTTCCAACTGCATTATTAATTCCTGCAGGGCCACATTCGGGCTGACAGGGCTGAGGTCATAATTTAGCCATTAGCACCAGGAACAGCAGAATTTGTCTGCCCAGAACTGCAGGACTATGGCTGTGCTTTCTCTTTTATGTCCAATCAATATTATATTTCGTGTTGTCTCGCTGGGCTAATGGAGGAATGGTCACAGCACTGGTTTGAAGAACACTTCTAGCAAAAGACAAAATTCTCCTCACAGACTATCAGTAGTCCCACTTCTGTTTTTCTGCTAGAATACCCTGGTCCCATGAAGCTCTGTTTACTTTCTACAAAGATGCAAAAGGAACATACAATATGATTTTAAAAAACTGTGCTGGCAAGAGCAGCTCTGCCTACACCTTGGGGTTTTCATACCTCTGCAATGCTGCAGGCAGCTTCCCCTAACTAAACATGAAAAACCTCAAATAAAAAATACTTATAACCCAAAATAAGCCCTACTGCAATATAACACACCAACATTTATGGCACAAGTACAATTTATCACATGATCCTGCCATTTTTTATTTGCCTGTAGGCAGCCAGAAGTGTTTCCCACGAGGAGCTGTGGAGCAAAAGGTCTGCAAATCCAACCTCTCTGATTTCCTCCTGGAGCTG